GGAAAGATTGCTACACGGTCGGACATTCTGATCATGGATGACTTTAACGCGCTCCACATCGACCAGAGCTCGGCCTGCGCACATAGCTCAGATCTGGCCTTCGACAGTTGCCTTCTGAGCATGACTCTTAAGTTATTTCTCACACAGCACGTCACGTATCCAATAAGGGGGCGCGACTGCCAACAGGCCAATTGTCTGGACCTCGTTCTCACGAAATTGCAGGACAGCGTTGACGAAGTGTCATGCTTAACTCCGCGAGATAAAAGTGACCACGTGGTACTGCTATGGGAGTACTCGTCATCCTCAATACCCGAGAGACCCTCAGCAGTCAGAAGAAATATTTGGCGAGGCGATTTCGATCAAATGATGGCCGAACTCACGTGCACTGAGTGGGAACCTCTTTTGTTTGGAAAGATAGCCGCGGACTTTGAAACGTTCAGGGACATACTGCACAGGCTCATCGAAAACCAGTGTCCAATTTCGCGAAAAAGGTTGACCAACAGACCGCGATGGCTTATGCAGGCCTTAAAAGTAGAAGTTAACAAAAAGCGGAAGCTGTGGAAAAACGCTTACAGACAGGACTCCTGCACCTCTAAGTGCATACAAAATCAGAGAAATCGGGTCAAGGGCCTTATTCTTACGACAAGACAGGACTTCGAAGTGGACCTGCTGAACCGTGCCACAATGAACTCCAAACAGTTTTACAGTTAGCTCAGGCAGATTTCCAAAAACAAAGATCCGATACCCCTGCTGAGGACCGCTGAGGGTATAGACCCGATAGAAGACGAAGCAAAAGGTGATCATCTTTCGGAATTTTTCCGGTCAGTTATCACAAACGAACCGGCATACCGGCCGAGATTTTGAAAGAGCTTGCCAGTGAGTTGGCAAAACCACTCTCTACGTTCTTCCAAACATCTTTCGAGACCGGATGCCTACCAGCCGAGTGGAAAGCCGCGAGGATTACGCCGCTCTACAAGGGTGGCAGCCGGGTTTCAGCAAATAATTATCGACCGGTCAGCATTACTGCAGTTTGTTGCAAAATTATGGAAAAAATAATCAGGCAACAACTAATGCAGTTCTTGGAACAAATCTATCTGCATTCAGATGCCCAGCACGGTTTTCGTAGAGGAAGGTCCTACGTAATAAATTTGCTCTACTGCTCAGAACGGTGGACTGAGGCAGTCGATAGAGGGCTTTCGATAACGTACCGCACCACCGCCTTCTTTGTAAAGTCAGTCGCACAGGAGTAAGAGGTAGGCTTCTTGCATGGATAGAAGGCTTCCTTATCGGCCGCTCGCAAACTGTCCATATCAGCGACAAACCGTCAGCCAAGGTTGCGGTTGAGGGTGGTGTTCCTCAAGGCTCCGTTCTCAGCCCAACTTTGTTCATTATCTACACCAACTATTGCGTCAGCAAACTGGATTGCGGTATCTCCATGTTTGCCGATGATATCAAGCTCTGGCGCGTCATTCGAACTGCGGCTGACGAAGAGAACTTGCGGCGTTCGGCGGGAATGCCGCGAGTTTTTTCACATTTGGGTCACTAAATTAACCAAATCTGCCAAACCTACCAAATAATTAAGTCAGCCTAGTAGTCATTCCGGTGGATTCTAAATGATTGCTTAAGAAATCTTGCTTGAGCGTCTACTTGCTGTTCCGTATTGGAGGATTCCATACGAGTGGCAAAGTTGGGCGGGTAGTATCGATCCAAGTGTGATTAAACTCACGGTGTGGGGCGTGTCATTCGTAGCTCAAGTGGACACAGCGTTGGCTTGCGTAGAAGGCTTTCCTTCCTGTGTGGGTTCGAATCCCGCCAAATGCCGCGAGTTTTTTTCACAATTGGGTCAACTAAACAAATTTTTATACGTTTTTCTATTTGTTAAACATTTCCAGAACTTTCATTTATCCATACTTGTTTCAGTTGCTGTTTGTTAACTACTATGCGCTGCGCTCAAACTGTGTGTTTCGTTAGTATTAACTGACATTTAAACCATCTCCCTTTTCTTCGCTGGGTTGCGTTTTCAGCTAAGTCCGTTATAGCATAGTTGTTTGCCCGGCTCAGCTCAAATAATTCTTAGCGTACGACCGCAATATCAATCGTCGCTTACTTCTATTGGAAATCCTGCGCGCCAGTGTGAGGAAGAAAATAGAATCCGTCTGTCATGATTTGCCAAAAGAGTCTTAACTTAAGTACACCGAAATTTGACGTATTAAGAACGTTGCTGGCTGGCAAATCGCGGAGTATAAAAGTGACCTATTGTCCTGGTTAAGCTGTTAAACAGTCGTGCCTTTACTATATTACTTCTCTAGACTACTAGACTGATTCGGCCAGATTTAGGTGTCGGATGCGAGGCCCTTGTATCGGACCACCATGCCTTGAGATGGCGACATTGTCGCACATCTGTTATCTGTGGTCAGGGAACAAGGGCAGGGTTGCTCGTTTGGCTCATTAAAAAAATCCGACAGGCCTCACTCTCTATTATCTGAAGCACCTAATGGCGGCTGTACCTTAGGCTACAAGTGCATTTAAAAAGATCACCTGGTCTCCTGAAAAAAGTGTTCAGAGATCCAGTGGTCGGCAGGACCAACAGCTCGCACACCAGTTGTAATAACTGCAACCAAGCCTCCTGTAGCCTTACATCCACGAGATTGTAGCGGCCCAACTCCGTGTGCAATGCTCAAACTCATGTGACTGCTATCACGTGCGCACGCATCAGTGTCCACCTACCCCAATCCAGTCTGACCAATCACCTCCAAGGTTGCCTGACATAGGACCTCACTATGACGTCTGTCAAGCTTCGGATGTCGTCCCTTTCGAGGTGAACCGCCATCTGGGAAATACCACACGGGCCAAGGGGACTGGGAAAGTCACGTGTACAGTACAGTTACTATCCTTCGGTTCGAAAGAAAGCCTGAATTGCTGAATTATTTTGAACCCGATAGGCCATTACGCTTGCGTTTAGAGTTTCCAAAATCCATGCTGCAAATATTATGTCCAAGAAAAATTACGCCCTTCATTGCGCTATGAGGAAGATGTCACACGGTGCTCATAAATGCTGCAATGGAGATGGACCATGCTGTATACTTTGTTTGCAGCATTAGTAGTGGACGGACACGATAAATTATGAATGCACATTTCATGGTTTTAGAAAATAACAAAATTTTATACTTTCGGTAGGACCGTCTTCAGAGGTCCTATTGCTTTTGACTTATGCTAATCAACTATCGTTACGTTTTCAGTATCCCGACTTTCCAGTTTTTCGTTAAATTTCGCCAATATAAGGTCGAATTTCCATAAATAAGCATCAGTTGCCTGAGCAACAGGAGTTGATGCTGATTTTGATCACATTTAGCTCATTAAAATAATTATAATTGGCTTTACTTCAATATTATTTGTTTGCTCTTAACAGAATTAGATATTCATCTACGTTCGTTTATCAATAATTAAATGTTCAACTACCAATACCATATGACAGTTGGACGGATAGAATATATATTTTAGCGGCCCAACAAAGCAGTCTTTCCAAACTTTCGTAAACACAAGCCATATCGCCTTTTTAAGTATAACATCTGAAAAGGACGTAGTTGGGTACGTCATGGTTACAAGAGGGCATATTTATGAGCACTTTTTCCTACAAAATTTACTCAAATAAGGACATCGAAAATTGATGGAA